ATTAATTTCCTGGGAAGCGTTTGACTGCACACCCAGCAATTGGTCATAGCTGTTCTTTGTGGTAGAAGGGACTGGATGGATTGAGCAGCATTTTCCCAAAGTCCCCTGGGGTGTCCCAGTGTGCACTGCACTGGTAGGACACATGGGCTGGGTCAGCAGCTGGCAGGGGGCTCCGTCTCCGTGGAGCAATCCTACCATGGTCATCTCATTCTGTCCTCCAGGAGCTGAGTTACCTTACCCATTTCCCCATTGGCCTCAGTTTCCCACCTTCATGAAACCAATCTAAGTTGGAGCAGGCAGGAATAGGAGGATGAGGACATGCTTACTGAATGCCAAGGACCATCCCAACTGCATTTCATAGGCAGCCTTTAGTCCTGGAGGAAAGTAATTCCCCAGGGCCTCAAGTAGCTTACAATACTCTTATTATTTAAATGATAGAAATGGTAATTGCTGGAAACATTTCAAAGAATCAGGATGTTTGTAAAGTAAAAGGGCCCTTCCCAGAGCAGATGCAGAGTCCCATTTCTCAGTGAACCACTGTTCTGCCTGGCTATGTTGTTCTACTTTTATCTGTGTGTGTGTGTGTGTGTGTGTGTGTGTGTGTGTGTGTGTGTGTGTGTGTGTGTGATGCTTTGAGTGTTATGTGACAAAACTTTCATGGGGAGACACCACACACACATCTACTCAGCCCATATAGGGAGTCCATGACAGACCAAAGTACAGATACCACCGAAGTCCAACTCTGTGAACCAGTGAGTTTTATTGGGGTTATTACAGGAATATGGGTAAGAGGTCACTTACAGCAGCCGAAATGACTCAAAGATGGCTGCATCACCCAAGCCCACCCCAGCATGGGTGACAGCTCAGAAAGCCGGGAACCTGCAGGCAGCTCAGCAGGTGGGACACTGTCCATTCTGGGTGCCTCAGTTGGTCTAAACTTTCCCATTTTTATAACTGAATTTAGGTTTCAGTTCTCTGAAAGAAGCAAACAGATGTCTCTTCCAACAAAGGACCATTTATCACCAAATTACATTCAGGCATGAGGGAGAGAGCACAAACAAGCCTGAGTCAGCCCCACAATGTCTCTAGGACAGTTCCTGCAACCCCCTTGAAACTTACCCAAGTTTGTCAGAGATAAAACCTCAGCCAGTTAGAACTATTCTAATGTCACTGCAGCTTGCTTAACCAATAATGTTTGAGATGACCTAACCGTGCCTCAAATGCTCGTAGCTGTGCTTAACCTGCGTGCTCCTATTGGATCTTGGCCATGTTGTCCATGTGAATGCCCAGGTGTATGCTGGTATATTAATAAACGCTCGGTGCTCTTAAATACTATTTGAGTCTACCGACTTCTTCAGCGTTTCCTCAGACCCCAACAAAACTTTGCAGGCCCCTCAGCTGGATTCTGTTTCTTTCAGTGAGCCTGTCTGGTCTCAGCCTCTTTCTCCCACCTTGGTTTTGCCCCTCACAGGCACTCTCGGTTTTTATTGTTTACTCTGGCAGGAAAGAGCCTAGTGAATCTGGTCAGTTTGGGGGCCTTTCTGGATACATTTGAGTTGTTTACCTTTCTGCTTTAGGAGCTTCCCTGCAGGATGGAATATTTCAGTCTCAGAGGAAACTGTTGTACAACAGAGGGTTGGACTCAGAAGTGGTAGGTAAGCACTCCAGTGTGAGCTACATCCAAATCCCAACATACATATTTTTACTTTGTAATTGAAATTACATCTTGGCTCAGACATAAAGACATAGAAATAGCACATGTAATTAACATGTAGGCACAGTTGTGTATCCCTGGCTGGTCTGGTATTCACTGTGTAAACCAGGATGGCCCCAAATGCACAGAGATCTGCCTGTCTCTGTCTTCTGAGTGCTGGTTTAAAGGCATGTGCCACCACATCTGGCCCTATCATTCTCGTTCTAGTTTTGTATTCTGGATCTTTACATATCTTGCAAACTTGTCTCCCATTCTGCAGACATTTTAAGCTTAATTTTGAACATTAATCTTTCTGCTGTTGAAGTTATTTAGCCACATTTTTGGGAGAGAGAAGGCAAATTTCCATCCCATATATTATTACTCTTTGTTAGCATTCAGGGATGTTTCTTCCCATGGGAGTCATTGTGAGTGTAGCAAAGTGATGTACAGCTCATTTACAGTGCCCCAAAGCGGCCCCTACCAGCTGGGTCCAGAATCTCCCATACAGGTGTGGTATGCACATGTAGCACTCAGAAGATAGAGACAGGAGGATCAGGAATCCCTAGGCAACGCAGGGCTACATCAGCTCCCATCTAAAATAATATAAATTTTCAAAACAGTCCCATCTTCCCCAACAAAGGTTGGCCCCAATCCAGCACTAAACCTCCCCTGCAACTGTTGGTACCCACCATGTTGCTCTGTCTCTATGTGAACTCTTGGTTCTGGAGACTTCAGACTTGTGGTCACCACACTGTCATGGAATGGCTTGTTTTTCTCAGCAGGATGCACATACATTATAATGTGTCAGTTTTGCCTTACTTCTTAAAGCTTAGTTACCACCCTTGCTTGGACAGCCCCATCGTATCCTCTCACCCTTTCATGGACCCACCTCTTAGCTGTAGTGAAATGCCACTGTGAATGAGGTATGCAGACACATGCCTGAGTGTCTACTTTCTTTCCTTTGGGTGTCTACTCTTGATATGCCCCTAAAACACATATGTTCAAATATCTGTAGTGCCTGAAGGAGATTGAAAAGGACATCAGGCATCCTGCAACTGGAGGTAGAGGCAGCTGTGAGCAACCATGTTGTGGTCTTGAAAATGGAACCTCAGCTCTCTGCAAGGTTAGCAAGTGTTCCTAACCTCTGAAACATCATGGCTGCTAACCAAGTTTTCCCCACTCAAGAAGTATCATGTCTCATGCCTAAAACCTTACCTTCTCTGATGAAGTTCCTGTTTGTTCTCCCTGATGCTTCCAGCACCTTTAACAGTGTGTGGCAAGAGTGGATTGTTAACAGCACAACACAAACACACACACACACACACACACACACACACACACACGCATACCTGCTCCAGAATCCATCTATTATCAAACACAGAGCCCTGGGGTGAAACCTGGGGACAAGAAAGAACGCTGTTCTTGCCTTTGTTGTACCTGCAGCTAGCAGGAGCCCAGATGGCCAGTGTGGTAATCCTGTGGGGCAGCGCAGCAGTGCACCCTTGAGGAGGCACAGCAGTCCAGCTAAGCTTCAGCTTGGTTCCTCTATGGCCCATGTGTCCATTTTACAGGGAATGATGCCAGGACCTTATCCTGAGGCCAATACCCTGGAAATACTACTTCACTTCAACCTGACAGTGTAGCACTTTGGATGAGGTGCTTGTCCTTGCTAAGAGTCTGGCCTTCTACTGTATGTGATGGCCCAGGAGTCTGACTCAAGAGAAAACTTCCAGATCTGGGTTTGTGCTGTTGAGGAGCAAGAATGTTAACAGCAAAAGTGCAGACTGCATTCAGGAGACCCAAAGATGCCAGAGATGATGATTAGGGCTGAGAGAATCCATTGATCAGGGGCAAATGATCAGTGACTTCAATCAATGAGATTGGGCTTCATCCAAGAAGGTGTGAACATACAGTGATGACCAGGATTCACCTCAGAGGTCTCAGGCAAGAGTGGTTGACTAGCTGGATTGAAAAGTTCTGACATGGGCTTCAGCCTCCTGCTCCTTCTCCTGGCTAGTGTGCTGATACTTCATCATAAGTAGGTCAACACAAAGCCCAGCCTCTTTTCCTGCATCCATATCCCTCAGGGCTAGGTCGGGCATTCTCTCCATCCTGCCATTCAGAAGGGGACACAGCAGTGATGGTGAGGGGCAGTGCTGGCCTCGCTAGTCTGTGAACTGCTGTCCTCCCAACAGATTCCACTGTGCCACAGCCAGCCAGATTGTTCCCATCACCACCCAACTCTTAGGAAGAAACATTAACCTTTTGCATTTAATGCTTTGAAGTATGGAAAGCAGAAACTAGTAGAAGAATAAGATTAACTCCATAAAAATGGATGGACTTGAAGATGTCTTTCTCAGAAACTCAGAGATCAAGTTGCTAGAAACTAGAGCAAAAGATTTAGATTTGAACTATTCAACCGGACTGTTAGTAGCTATTTGTGACTATTTTAATTTTTAGTTTAAGCTAGTAACAAGAAAAGCAACTTTTTTAGTTCACTAGCAACAATCCAGAGCACTCAACATCACATGTCTGCCTCTCTTGAAACACTAATAAGGAAAGAGAGAGAGAGAGAGAGAGAGAGAGAGAGAGAGAAATTGCCATGGTTCTTTTAACATGTATCAAATGACTGCCAAACCCTCTGTGATAATGTTATAACTTGTTTATATACTGTGAAAAATTTCTGGCTTATAGCCCCAATATTAATTCCAGCTTCTCCTCTCATCAGTTTTGGTTGTGTGTGACTTGTTTCTTTAGCCGAACCCCCCTTGATCTTCCAGACATCAGTTCTTCCTTTGTTTGGCATGAGGATGCCACTTCGTCCCACAGGGTGTACCCTTCATGTTCCTCTAGGCCAGACTGGAGCTGTCCATTTCTAGACCTTTCATATTCTTCCAGAGCAGAAATGGAAGTACTGTGCCTTCCTCTGTCCTGTTATGGTAATTTTACTGATCAATATTGTGTAGACTTGTCATTGTGTTAAATGTCATTTGTTGAATTGCATTTCAATAGTTAAAATTTATTAACTTATTTGGAATTTTGAAGCTCACAGCATTTGTCATTAGGAAGGGAAGGAGTCTGAAAACTCAAGGTGTACTGTTGTACTTTTCTGGAGTCCTTCTGAACTCTGTGAAGTGGATCCAATGGCTTCTTTTGATCCTCAGAGGCTTATGTGAATTCTTATTTTATAAGAGGACACGAAAGTTTAAAGTATATTAGTATTACCAATCAGTAGAGAAATCCATATTGTAGAAAAAGCAGGCAAATGGTATCGTAAACAGCAGCAGTAGATTCATATTTTGTTTTTGTTTTTGTTTTTGTTTTTGTTTTTTTTCGAGACAGGGTTTCTCTATGTAGCTTTGTGCCTTTCCTGGAACTCACTTGATAGCCCAGGCTGGCCTCAAACTCACAGAGATCAGCCTGGCTCTGCCTCCTGAGTGCTGGGATTAAAGGCATGTGCCACCACTGCCCGGCAAGATTCATATCTTTGAGACCAAACAAAAACAATAGTTTTGGGTTAAAAACAAATGTATGTTTTCCTTCTGTCCAGAGAGCCAGCTATAATTTAGATTCAATTGTCTTTGCCCTGATGAAAAGCATTTGTAAGTCTATATTCATAAGATAACCAAAAGATATCTAAAATCTTACGCCTATAATTAGAACAGTAAGCAGTCATTGCTCTATTAGCTTGTCAGATTTCTATTAATGTTACATTTCTGAACTTTTGAAGTTTTAAACAAAACCCATCAATTCCTTGAGCACCACACCATCTCTCTGCCTCTCCGGCTGTCCAGCTCTGCCCCCACCAGTCCACCCTTCTTGCTTCCTGGTCCTTGCTTTCATTGTACTACCATGGCATGTATCCAGAACAGCCCTACCCACCCTGCCCCCTGGCTCCAGGAAACACTCATTATCCACTCAGGAGCTGTTTTCCAGGGCTCCCCCCATGAATTCTCACCTCCTGGACTGCCCTGGCAATGGCTATCCTTAATATACCCAGGAGGGCCTAGTGGCCAAGGATGGTGCTGCTTTGTTTACTTCCTGGATGTGAGGCTGAGCATCTCCCAGGCTTCCCAAGAGAGCAGGTGCCCTGAAGTGGTCCAAGGATTCTCCATGGAGTGTGTGACAGGTAACTTCTGGTGACCTGTAGCTGCTGACACCAAAACCTCACACCACGGCCACAGCCTGCCAGAGCCTGCCCCTGACCCACAGAACCATGCTGTAAGGACTATAAGGACTTGTCCATCTTCAATGTTAGGAATTCATGACACAGTAAAAGCAGAACACCCCAGGCCCATGGTCATCATGCAGGGTGGAGGTTCTGTGGGTCCCTCAGACCCATGCTATGGTATAAGACCTGGCAAGCTCCTGTCCTCACCCCTGGAGCTTTGGACAATAGGTGTGGGATGACTCATCCCTCACAGGCTTGAGGGCCAGAGGGCCCAAACAAGTAAAAAAGATACTTTCTGAAAGCCAGCCTGGGTCTGCCTGATGGTCTTAGCAACAGCAGCTGAAACATGATCTGGAGGTGACCTAGACCAATGAGAGGCAGCCATGTCACATCAGCTAATGCATAGTCATCAGACCTTCCCCCAGGATGGGGTGAAGGGCATATAAGGCTTGCCTCCTCCTGAGTAAACTGAGCTTGTTTCAACAATCTCCCAAAGTCTGTCTAGTTTGACTTTGTTTCTACTTGGCTCCTGCCCCCAAAGGGAACAACAGCAAAGGATGTTCAGACTTTGTAGAAGAAATGGGGGTTGTAGGAGAAATCCAAGAGTCTGCTTAAAAGGTAAAGGAATTTATTAGGGAGGAAGACTCACTATGATTACTCATAGTGTCCTGGAACACCGAGGTACAGTCCCACAATGTTCTTCCACCTGAGTGTGTCCCAGCATCCAAGCCCACAAGGGAGAGAAGAGGAGTGGTATACCTTCCTCTCAGTTCTTAAGAGTAGCCCCGGGG